AAGTTCCATAGATATCATACAGCAAAGTTAACTACAGTCATCATGCTATTCAATTCCTAACTTATTTACCTTGTAATTAGTAGTTTGCACCTTTTGATCACGCTTCTCCAATTCCTCCAACCTCCATCATCCCCAAGGCTTTCTTTTTTAAGTTGGCCTGCCATGAAATCATACTTTCAAAGTCTGAGAAAAGAAAAATGTGCTTCTCTAATTTGGAATAGCATTGAAGATTAGAATGGAGAAAACAATTACAGTAATGCAGAAATTTACATGTTGTTTCTCCAAAATTCTTTGATGATCTTTGAAGAGGCCATAAGGAGCCCAGACAAGGAAGAACTGACTGCTGCTAAGTTGTTCCGCTTGACAAAAACTCATAGAGAAAAAAAAGGCTCATTTTTTTTTTAAACATATCTTTGTTGATTTCAGAGAAAGGAAAGGAGGAGGAGAGAGATAGAAACATCAATGATGAGAGAGTCATTGATCGGCTGCCTAGCCTGCAACCCGGGCATGTGCCCTGACCGGGAATCGAACCCCGATCGCCTGGATCCTAGGTCGATGCTCAACCGCTGAGCCACACCGGCCGGGCTGGCTCATTTTTGAAATAAGACTGCTTCAGAATTGAAAATGTCATCAGAAAAGGACAAATTAAATAGGACATTCTCAGTTTCTTTCCTAAATATATAACTACTTGGAATCCAACTTTGATCTCGCTACTTCAATTTACCTCTATGCTTTAAAACCATTCTCCCAGACAAGGTTTCCTTTAGACTGTGTAATGGGACAGAAACAAACGTCATTGTTATTTTATTAAATATAGAATATTATCTAAGTGCTATTATTGCATCTGAGTTCTCCTTTTACAAAGTCCTACCTTTATGTATCTTAAGGCTATGCCACCATATGGCCTAGAAATTTAAATATCCAACAAAAAGTTTAAATAGTTCAAATAAATTACTGTATCAGAGAACACATAGAAACACTATAAAAATAGTTATACTTTTTTCTCCCATGCATTGTTTAATTAATCCTATTATAATTACTATTAATTGTCACTGTTAAGTAGTTCTATTGTGGTTTTGTTCAAATAATAGCATTTATGTGACAGGTAAGTAAACGATACAAAATAATATAGCATTTCAAATAAACACCAATTTTTCATACTTTTATATTAAAGTAGTAACTTCCTGTGCGTGATTATCTATTACATGACGGCTCTCGTCCAGCGTGGCCGCGTCCCGCGCGAGCTCTCCAACCACAATAGA